TAAATGTGTGTGTATGTGTGTGTGTGAGTGTGTGTGTGTGTGTGTGTGTATATGTGTGTGTGTATATGCGTGTGTGTGTGTATGTGTGTGTGTGAGTGTGTGTGTGTGTGTGTGTGTATATGTGTGTGTGTATATGCGTGTGTGTGTGTATGTGTACACACTCATCAATCCCCAACCTAAACATTTTCTGTACAGTGATGTTGTGTACATACAAAACAACTTTGATACAATTATTTGTCTTGTTTTTGTTTACATCTGTAGGCATATTATCCAAATAGCATGCCAATGTTAGTTTTAATGAATTTGATACAGACTGTTGCCTATAATAAAGCAACTTGAATGAGAGTTTTGCTTATTGAACTGTCTTAACTAAATACTTGTGTGTGATTTAACCTGTGTAAACCAAGAGACCTTGCAATCCCAAAGAGTGTGGTGTTACTCTTAAAGACCTGTATTTCAGAGGACATCAACGCGGATTATTCTTGTGGAAATATGTTCATTGATAATGTTGATGTTTTAAAACAAGATTATAAGGAATGCTCTTTGTTCTGCAGCAAGATTATTCGTTTGTTTGGTGATATCTCTTGCACGGAAACTGCCAAAGAAGTTCTGCATCAATAACAAAATGAAGGAAGTGTCTTACAAAATAATTCATAGAATTGAACCCGCTAAGCACGCTTGAGCTCAGTGTTTCATATTCCTGTGAATTTTGTGGTCAAGGAAAAGAAACTATTTTGCATCAGTTTTTTCCACTGTATTTACGCAAGATTATTTGGGAAGGATTTATAATTCTTAGTGTTCGGTTAAAGATTTTTTTATTTTTATTTTTATTTTTTATTGAACAGTATCAATTTACACACTCAAATGGGGAACAATAAAATGCATATGACAAAATATACACTTTACCAATCACATCTCCATCATACATAAATGTCCATGTGTGTATATATGTATATCTCTACAGTGTTTACAGGAGTAGAGGAAGAAGAAGGGAGCTGAGCTTGTCGGCTGGAGCCCTTGGTATCGTACACAATCAACAGTGGATAGGGGAAGAGTATCAGGCTGGAGCAGAACTGAGGAGAACATGATGACAAGGTTGCGATTGGGGCATACACGCAGCGCCGGATGAAGCTCTGTGAAGACTCTCAGCGGTGCAGAAGCAAGGTGTTTGTGTGTGGGTTGGTAGGTTAATCAGGAGATTGTAGATAGTGTCAGTGGTCCATTTGAGATATAGGTGGCGGTAATGCACTTATAAGTCTGCGATCCGCCGTAAAGCAAGAAGAAGAAGAAGAGCGTTTACAGCGTCGCAGTCTGGAGGGTGAAGGGCGGGGGAGTCTCCGGCCGACAGGCGGCGCTGCTGAGCGTCTGGCGTCCGCGGCTGCTCGGCTCTTCCACATGTGCAGCAGCAGCAGCAGCAGCAGCAGCGTGAGGCCAGAGATCGAGGCTTGTTTCAGTCGTTCTCGTCTTTTTCTCTTGCAGTCTGCATTCACGCAAACTGTGTTTCTGCCGTGGCTTCGTGTGTAACGCGTGATGAAGAGCCGCAGCGCTTATACTGTAGACCCGAGACTCAAACACAGAGTCCATCAGGTAAAATTAAAGCTTTATTGGGATTACCATCGTGTAAATAGCAGGGACATTATAAAGCGCAATAACTAAGAAGTAAGTGATCTGAAGAAAGAGGGAGTTTAACATGTGATGAATATATGTGACCCTGGAGCACAAAACCAGGGTCAATCTTCTGAAACTGAGGTTTATACAGCATCTGACAGCTTTCCATTGATGTATGGTTTGTTAGGATAGCACAATATCTGGCTGAGATACAACTATTAGAAAATCTGGAATCTGAGGGAGCAAAAACATCTAAATATTGAGAAAATCATCTTTAAAGTTGTCCAAATGAAGTTTTTAGCTATGCATATAACTAATCAAAAATTAAGTTGATATATTTACAGTAGGAAATGTACAAAATATCTTCATGGAACATGATCTTTACTTAATATCCTAATGATTTTTGGCATAAAAGAAAAATCAATAATGTTGACCCATACAATGTATTGTTGGCTATTGCTACAAATATCCCCCAGCGACTTAACACTGCTTCTGTGCTGCAGGGACACATATATATCACAGTTTTAGAGCTCAATCTGCTCGCTAAGGATTGTAATGTACGCTACTACTTAATGATTTTAGTTGGTAACACCAGAAAGTTGGCTTGTTTAAGTTTACGTGGCAGGTTTGACCATTTTTCGTATTTTATTCTCTCTAAAACATTTCTAATGTAATCATGCTTTTCGTGAGCGACATGTTCAAGTTTAACACACAGTAATTGCTGATGTTTGACACGCATCCACATTTCTTTCCATCTGCTTTGGAGATTTGGATGAACTCGCTCTGCAGTGGATGGGTGCCGTCAGAACGAGAGTCCAAACAGCTGATAAAAACATCACAATAATCCACAGCACTCCAGTCCATCAGTTAACATCTGGAGAAGACAAAAGCTGAAACAAATCCAGCATTAAGATGTTTTTAACTAAAATACGAGTTCATAATTCATAATAACGCTTCCTCCAGTTGTCTCTCACATCAAAATCCAGCCACATATGTGTTTAGAGCGGTTTAAACGCTGCTTGATCTGTGCAGATTTCTCTCCTGATTCACACCAGAACACTGACTCACTGGAGGAGGAGTTATTATGGACTCGTATTTGAGTTAAAAACATATTTTTTTACAAACATGCAGCTTCTGTCTTCACAAGATCTTAACTGCAGTGGCGTGGATTATTGTGATGTTTGTATCGGCTATTTGATAAAACCAAATGTAGCTACTTTATCTGTAGATGTGTTTGGAGGGGAAAAAAAACAATTCCAAAAGAGAGTCCGATTTCATTTATTATGTATGCAATTGTATCACCGTCCTTTATTAATACTGTCCATAGCATTTCCAGAGTTGATATGTCCGTGCACGTTAAAAAAGACCAGAATGCAGCATGGGGTGCGTCTCGCGGATCTCACCACAGAATGTGTTTTCAGAAGCAGAGAGATTCATCAAAGCTGGAGAAGGAGAAGACGTCGAAGAGCGGAAAACTGAAGAGAGCGAAGAAGAACAAGCACGACGTGGAGGCAGAAATCGCTGCCGGAGTACAGGCTAAAAAGAGTCAGTGAAACTCTCACACGCGTGACATCTGCTCTAGTCGTCAAAGCAGGAATCTCTGCATGTGCGCGTCTATCACAGTGGACGGAAACCTTTTTAGGACCATTAAGATAATGCAGTGCAAAAAAATGTGTCATTTAAAAAAAAATATATATATATATATAATTGCCTATAATGTAATGTCATATACTATATATATATATATATAATAGTGCTATAACACCTTACAATAAGGTTTTATTACTTATTTATAGAGATGCACCGATCGATCGGCCAGGGATCGGAATCGGCCGAGTTTCCTCATGATCGGCCCCGATCGGTGATTGGCCGGTCAGTCTCACTTCTTTCCGATTCCGAGCCAATCCGTTTCGTTACCAGCGGCACAGAGGCATTCTCGCTCTCTTCTCTCCGACGACCCCTTCTCTCTCACACACGTCTCATTCGCTCCGGTTAAATAGTGCTTGTGTTGCGCATTATAGTCATTCCTGCAGGTTTGGTGCTTATACCAAACGCGCACGCACCACCACTGATCTATATTAGTGGAGCGCACAATCCGCTCAGTCTCAAACAGCTTGTGAGCCACAAATACCAAAATGAGTGGCTAACTGCACTAAAACGTTCACATACAAAATTGTCAAAATGCCCGTCTTGGCGAGTATCCAGTTAAACACAGTCAGTTTTGGAACGTTAAATAGTTGAGAAAGAGAACGCATGTTGTGTAAAGCCTGGCTCACACTACAGGATTTTTAGCCCCATTCCCCCCTCCCGAGAATCTGAGCAGAAATCTTGTCGAGCCCCTCGATCGCTCCCGATGTTCGGCGCGGATTATCTGGTAATGTGAGGCGTTCACCGATCGAATCTTGCACCTCCCGATCTGCTCGCACACACATCGGGCCGCCCTGATCATATCAAACATGTTTGATATTTAGGATTTAAATCGGGATGATGATGGCTATATGATTACGCCAGTACTTTCACAATAGCCAATGCGTGACTGCAAAACAGCTGCTGTACGGCTCCGTTGGATACCGGAGACGGAGGAAACTGCTTCTTGACGTTTTATAGTGACACGACTGTCTGTATAATGTGTCGAAAACGTATCACAACCGTAAGGAGAAAGAGAAGCGCTGGAGTGAAATCGCCTCAGTTTTGAATGTACCGGGTGAGTGTAGAAAGCAGCTAGCAGGCTAGCTAACATATGTAAACATCACTGAGGATCTGCCGCGTGAGATCACGTGAGGCGCTCCTCTGGCAGGATAATCTTAATAAGATCTTGTAGTGTGTGATGCGCCACGATGTTAAAATCTTGTAGTGCGTGCATGTTTAAGATTTGAGAGAAGATAATCTGCGAAGATTCTCCTTATGTGTGTGCTGCAACCAGATTTCATAATCGGTTAGGATTTTAAAACACCTGTAGTGTGAGCCCGGCTTAACCGTATATTGGGTCCGTGGATAAACTCTTAAAGGGACCGCAGTCCAATATTCCTGCTGCTGTCTGTCATGTTAATCCAAGAACAAAAGACAAAGAAAATCACCACCCCGAGACAGTCCAGCTGACTGCTACTTTCTGCTCTTGACTGGATACGTTTTATAACTTTAATGGTAAGCATTAATCTGTATTTAATTTTTACAATGAAGACTACAGAAATTATAGTAATCAAATGTAAAATAACACTGGATGTGTTCTTTTACATGAGATTACTTTAATTTCTGTTGTATTTCTTTACTGAATAAAAACGTACTTAACCTGAAAAACTTAGTTAGCTCTCTTTATTCTATTGCCTTTATTTGTGCTGTTGTTTGAAAAAATTTTTTTTACGTGTTCTTATTTTATAACTGACTTTTTACTTGTGTTTTTTTATGAAAATGAAACTTTGCGTTGAAGAAAAGTAGATTTTTGTTTGTATATGCTGTCAATTATAGATCACACTAACAAGAGATCGGAATCGGCCAAGAAAATTGCAATCGGTGCATCTCTACTTATTTATTTAATTAATAATGCATTAACTAACAGTGAGCAATATGTTTGTTGCCGTATATATTAATCTTTGTTCACGTTAGTAAAAAAAATACAAATATTCATGCAGTTGAAAATAACTAACAATATTAATAAATGCTTTAGAAGTATTTTTCATTGTTAATTCATGTTAACTAATCTTACCTAATTGTAATGATCATGGTGGTGTTTTTCATTGGGGAATAGGCTTTATCATCTTGAAAATTATTGATGTAAAATTTTTATTAAGACTTTTTACAAGTATCTCTGAACATCAGATGTTGTGTGATAAGTTAATTCTCGTTTTAACTCGAGGTAAGAACAAGGGCCATGAGCTGCAGTTCTCAGCGGTGAAGTTCGAGGACTTCGGCGGCAGTGAGGAAACTCTAGAGGTGCGTTTCAGATCTCTTCATCCATGCGTCCGTCCATCTGTCCTGCTCACACACGAGTGCTTGTCTTCTTCAGGAGGTCTGTAAGCTGCTGATCCACACGAGGCATCCGGAGGTGTACCAGCGGCTGGGAGTGGTTCCTCCGCGGGGGTTCCTGCTGCATGGCCCGCCGGGGTGTGGGAAGACCCTGCTGGCTCAGGCTGTGGCTGGAGTGAGTGACTCTGACCATGTGCACGAGTGTGTGCTTCACTGCTGAGCGTGTCTGACGTGTGTGTGTGTGTGTAGGAGGTGGGCCTGCCGATGCTGAAGGTCTCGGCTCCGGAGCTGGTGTCAGGAGTCTCCGGAGAATCAGAGCAGAAGCTGCGGGAACTGTTTGAGCAAGCCATAGTAAGAGTCACACTCCGGCCGGTTCATTAGGGTTAAACAGTCTGTGATTTCATTGTAATCATCGTCTGTGTTCATGAGATGTGATGTGGCTGTCAGCACCTCCAAATGCGTAGTTTTTTTTGAGCAGATCTCACTGGATGTTCCAGATGATCCATAGCTGGATTACATGTACACCTTGCATTTCAGTGCTAAATGGACTAGTCGATTCAGTTCTGATTCACAAGCTTTTAATTGGCATCATTAATTTGATTCTGATATCAATTTATTAGCATATATTTTCAGGTACAGTACATGTCAGTTGTTCTCTGGTCTAAAGCTGTGAACTACACAGGGAAGCCCGTCAGTTGGTACATCACTATATTATGGCGCTTTTCCACGGCACGGTTTGCGTTTCCGCTGCAGTTTAGTACCGCTTTAGAGTTGGCGGGATTATTCACATGTCGTTATAGTTGCGCCGCCTCTACTACCACGACTCCTAAAAAAAACTTTTTAATTCCGCATCGCCCCATCAAGCTCTCGCTGGATCCGCTCCTCTGCTATCAACGAGAGGAACGTCTGTTCTTCCTCAACAGACAACGAAACAGACACTTTTTGGTTGTTAAAAAAAGGTGTGCTCGTTCAAAACAGTTGCGTTCGATCCTTCGCTGGCTGTGCTGATTTAAATCTAGCGGTTCTGTTATGTTTGTGGCGCAAGTTCAGTGACGCAGAGAGCGAGTCAGGCTTTTACGGCCGTTACTTCCTCGTCCCCAAAAGAGATGGTGGCCTCCGACCCATCCTCGATCTCAGATACCTGAATCGCGCCCTCATGAAGAGGTCGTTCAGGATGATTACACTAAAACAGATCCTCACGCAAATTCGCTCGAGAGACTGGTTCGTTTCCCCTGGACCTGAAGGATGCATACTTTCACATCCAGATAGCCCCTCGTCACAGGCCCTTCTTGAGATTCGCCTTCGAGGGAGTGGCTTATCAATATACGGTCCTTCCCTTCGGGCTGTCCCTGGCCCCCCGCACTTTTACGAAGTGCATGGATGCGCCTCTGAGACAGATGGGAATCCGTATTATCAATTACCTCGACGACTGTCTTGTCCTGGCCCAGTCGGAGGCAGAATTAATATCTCACAGAGCCCTCCTCCGCAGCCACCTGGGGCAGGGTTCGTACGGTCATGAAAAACCTGGAAAAGTCATGGAATTTTAAAACAACAATTTCCAGGCCTGGAAAAGTTTTGGAAAAATAAATAAACCCAGAAAGTTTTGGAAAAGTCATTGAAATCTATTTCACAAAACTCTGTATAATAGAATTATGTTTAATCGGGTCCTGAATTTCGGTGCGGGATTGCGCATAGGCTGTATCGCATATAGTTTTACTCATTCCCGCAGCTTTTGACTTTTAAAATGATGGATATTCACACATTTATTCAATAGCCTATAGCATGTAGGTTTGATGAGTAAATAATCAAACCTACAGACAGTCCAGTCCACACAGATTGATCAAATCAGTCATTTGAAAACAGTGTGAGTGATTCAGCTGTACGCGTCTTCTCTCTTTGACTTTCTTTTTGATCTTCTGCGCTACAAGAGCCGCTGCACGCTGCGATTACAAGACTTTCACTCGCGTTTCGGGACAGTTGACAGAATAGTCACTTGCCTAATCGGGTCATTGTTGCATCATCAGAAAATGTTATTATTTATTTGCACGTCTTTTTAAGCTATTCGGCACTCGCGCGCTCCAGAGGCGGTGCGCAGTCACATCCAAAGTGCGCTCGTGCATATATAATGCCACCTTGCCAGTACCAAATTGAGTTTGCTACCAAATAAGCTCAGCAGAACCCTGCACGGGCCTCAAACATATGCCCTAGTCCGGCCCTTATCCGACAGATTATCAGAATTACTGGCCGAGTCCGACTGGAGCCAGTGTCTTTTTTCTCTTTCTAAAATAGTTCCGTTTCGTTTTTAATGGCAAAAGTGGTTATATTTTCATTTCTTTTTATTACGTTAATTTATAAATATGTTTGGAAAATGTTTTTGTTTGTTAAATTCAAGTTTTTGTTTTGTTAAAGTAACGACCAAGCGGCCAGTGTCAGACAGTGAGTTAATCATAGCCTATGTTTGATCAATTTGGCCTTCTCAAATCATCACCACTTGGCTAAAATAAAATAAATAGGCCTATATAAAATGCTTTTAAAAAACAATGTTAGTTTAAATGGTTAACCTAGATAAAGGTGTGCTATTAGGAGCGTATCCAATCGTTTGTGCAGAGAAGCTAAAGCGCACTTTGCAGGACGTGGAGTCGCCAGCACGATCACTTGCATTTTTTTCTTATAACAGTGGAAACAACCAGTCATTTTTGCTCATAAAGGTAAGAGTAATACATCGTTCGGAACTGTTAAGGGTCTACTTTTATTTGTGTGCACTCACAATATCAGCATACGTTGTGCTTTTTAAGAAAACAAACAGGATACGCTTTCTGCTGTCTCGGTCTTGAGCAGGAGCGCTTCACAAAAATGAACCGAAACCCTGCGAATATTCTATTTCCCCTGGAGCATTCATCATGGTAATTACTTGCTGGCGTTTTGCGGCAAGC